ATGCACTCTACGAAATCGGTGTGCTTTAGTGGAGAGAATAATTCGCCAGGCAGACGTAGACAGCGACCGTAAACTATTTCGACTGGTGATGCTTTCAAATCGTTTTTAACTGTAGCTCGAATCCCTAGCATGACTAACGGTAACCAACGCGGGTTTTCTGACGCCCATAGGGCAGCCTTGAGGTGTCTATGGAAACGTTCTANTGGAGAATGCTCCTTCAAAATGTGCTCCTCAGTCGGCTGTGACGATTGCCGGAAACGTGCTACCCACTGACTGAGGAACGCGTAGGCTACGATCTCCGAGGAACACCCGTGGATTGTGATGGCTTCAGGCCATCTAGTGAAACGGTCGACGCATGTTAGTAAGTATATGACGTCACCTGACCTAGGAAGAGGTCCATCGATGTCTGCATGAACGTGGTAAAGACGTGCATCAGGTGTCGGGACCGAACCTATTGCTGGGCGTGTGTGCCTATGCACCTTCGAACATTGGCACTGAAGACAATTGCGAGTCCATAAAAACACGTCGCGATTGACCTGGCGCCACACGAAACGAGAAGCGCTTAGTTTGACGGCGGTGCGGATACCTGGGTGTGAGATGCCGTGCATCTGATCGAAGATAAGTCGTCGAAATCTTTCGGGGACTACTGGGCTTTGGCTAACGTCGCAAACAATAGGTTGTTCTGAACCTGGGATGTGTACTAGTTGGATGCGCAGTGAGCTGTTGCGACGCAATAGTTCTATTTCGGGATCCGTGCCTTGAGCAGTTCGATCTATCGGCTTCGATAATATGTTAAGAGAAGCGATGCGTGATAACGCATCGGCGACAGGGTTATCGATACCTGAGACATGTCGCTCGTGAACTGAGTGACATAGTCCAGGTGTCTTATTTCCCACGGAGAATACCTGTCGGAAGGTGCATGAGGGGCGAAAATTGAAGGCTTGTGGTCGGTGAAAACGGTGAATTATCTACCTTCCAACGTGTGTTGGAAGTGTTGAATGCTAAAATAAACTGCTAAAAGTTTCCTGCCAAATGCACTATGGCGAGACTCGGCAGGTTTTAATCATTTGGAGAAAAATGCTGTAGGTTGCCACCGATTTTGTACGGATTGTTGGAGCACCGCGCCGACAGCTAAGTCTGAGGCATCGGTAACGAGATCTAGCGGTGAGTCCGGGTCGTGGTGTTCTAAGGCAGCTATTTTAGCGACGGCCTTTTTTAGCACGTCGAAAACGATTAAGGCTGACGATGGGAATTCGAAACGTTTTGGATTGCTCTTGAGTAGATCGGTTAAAGGTTGCATCAATGTGGCACAACCGTGAATGAAACGACGATCGAATTTTACTATTCCAGCGAAACTGCGTATCTGTCGGAACGATGAAGGTGCTGGGTAGTCGATGATAGCCCGGATTTTGTCCGGGAGAGGTTGTATTCCAACGACTGAGACGATGTGGCCTAGGAAAGTAAAGGATGATTGACCAAACGAACACTTTGAAGCGTTGATCATTATCGCGTATTGAGATAAACTTTCAAGAAGTGCACGTATATGGCGCTGATGATCTTCCGTTGAGGAAAGGGCTGCCAAAATGTCGTCGAGGTAGCAGTTAACGTTGTCAAGTCCACGGCAGACTTGATCGGTGAACCGTTGAAGGGACTGAGAGGCGTTACTCAGCCCGAACGGCATGTGAATGAATTCGAATATCCCAGATGGAGTAATGACGGTCGTTTTTAGCGACAGGAATCTGGTTGTACGCGCGAACCAAATCGAGCTTACTAAAGAACGACTTACAAACGAGGTTCGCAGTCAGATCCTGTATGTGAGGAATGGGATAGCGGTCTGGGACTGTGCACTGGTTGAGTGCTCGGTAATCGCCGCAAGGGCGCCAGTCACCTGAACTCTTCGGGGCCATGGGCTATTGGAAGGACGAATGGTGCCTAGTTGTAACATGTGTTCGAATTCCATCTCTGCGACTCTGAGTTTGTCGGGGGCCAACTTACGAGGTCGGCTGTGAACAGGAGGACCCTGGGGGACGATGTGGTGTTCTGCCTGTGCTGTGACGGCTGGTAGATCACCAGGGGAACGGATGTTCGCGAACAATTGCGTCGATTTGAGTTGACTCTGTTGGAAATGCTGATAACGGGCTAAGGGTAGACTTATTCGCGGTTCGACCTGTCGCTTTGAGTTTCGTTGTGCGGTCTACCAGTTTACGCTTTCTAGTGTCTACTAGCAAGTCGAATTTTTGAAGGAAATGAATTCTTGATATAGCGAATGGAACTTTCGCGACGTAGAAAACCCATGAGAGGTTACGACGTAGGTTGAGGTCTAGGTTAATAAACTTCTGACCGTACTTTTCTATAGGTGCCCGTTAAATGATTACCGGCCGGTTTCGCGGAACTATCGATGTTGGGGAGAACGCTAACTTCGGCTCCGGTATCCACCAGGAAGTCTCTACGAGAATTCCTGTCCCTAATGAAGAACAGACGACCTGTTTGGGATGCACCAGACGCGGTGGTCGTCGTGGTACATCGGCCTAGTAGTTTTCCAACAACCGGTGGTTACGATGTTTGCAAGGCCTGACGTTGTCACCGAATTCAAAATGGTACCAACAAATGCCGTCCGCATCTAACTCAGGACTATTTGTTCTACTGCGTGACGGTGGTCTTCNGTGAAGTTGGGCGGCTCGTGCTGCAACCCCTCATGACTATGTCCCTGAGTTCCGTCATCTGTCTTTGCAGATCATCAAGAGTGGCCGGCTATCTGCTCCGGCGTTCTTTCGTTGACAGTTGAGCGATCCTAGCGCAACGTTTCGATTTCCTTATCCCTATCGCTAGGGCAGGGGAGGGTGGGACCACTGGTGTAACGGCGTGCAGCTGCTGTCTCTCCAATACAGCATCAGCCGCTAACTGGTCTAAGTCTAGGTTAGGTCTAGGAACGATGATGTCCTGTACGGCGTTTGGTATCCGCTGCAACCACAACTCTCAGAAGTGATTCGTGCATGAGAGATGGCCCGGCTATTTGACGCATTTCACGTAGAAGCATCGAAGGATTCTTGTTGCCGAGCGTCGGCATATGGCAAAGCTGGGTTAGCCTTGTTCGTTCGGAAGGACCAGCCTCCGTTAGGATCCGCTCCTTCAAGAGCCTATACCTATTTTCGCTTGCGTCCATAAGAATAATGTCCTCCGAGGCCCCGACTTGCGTGGAGCTCAGCCT